GACTGTGGAATGGCGGTGCAGCCACTGTCTCCCTCCTCAGACCTGTCTTAGGTTTATGTGCCTCTCTTTTTTTTTTTTTTTTTTTTTTTTTTTTTTTTTTGGTTTTTCGAGACAGGGTTTCTCTGTGTAGCTTTGCGCCTTTCCTGGATCTCACTCTGTAGACCAGGCTGGCCTCGAACTCACAAAGATCCGCCTGGCTCTGCCTCCCGAGTGCTGGGATTAAAGGCGTGCGCCACCACCGCCCGGCTTATGTGCCTCTCTTATGCCCTCTCCTCTCCCTAGGGTTTCACCCCCATGACGGTTCCAGACCTTCTGCGAGGAGCTGTGTTTGTGAGTGAGGCCTGAGTGACAGGCCCTCTCTCCCTGAGGAGACTGTCCTGGGCTGGGTCATGGAAGTCAGCCATAATGGGGGGGGGGGGGGCATTTCATTTCCAGATGCTTCTAGAGGAACCACTGGGGTCGTGACCCCAGTACGGGGGAGGCCAAGGTTACCTGACCCCTGCACCCTTCCCCCAGGAAGGCTGTGGAATGACACCAAACGCCAACCCATCCCAGATTTACAATATCGACCCCTCCCGCTTCGAAGATCTCAACCTGGCTGGGACGGCAGAGGTGGGGCTGGCAGGTGAGCATCTGCCTGGGTGGTGGAGGGACAGCTTCCTGCAGGTGACAGATCATAACCTGGAGCTAACACATACAGTTGTGGAGGTTGTTGACTGCTCAAAAGTACAGTGACTAGCCAGCCGTGTGCCCTGACAAAATCTCACTCCGACTTCCTGTGGGAGATGGCGTGACCCTGGCTAACCTCATCCTGCCTTTCTCCTCCCAGGATACTTCATGGACCATTCTGTAGCTTTCAGGGACCTGCCAGTCAGGTGATGCCCAGTTTCTTTAACCCTAGACCCCGTTGGTAATGTCTCCTACCCTCCCTGACCCAACCTCACATGCCCCTCCTAGGATGGTCTGTGCCAGCACCTGCTACCGGGCCGAGACAGACACCGGGAAGGAGCCTTGGGGACTGTACCGAGTTCATCACTTCGCTAAAGTGAGTGGCGCAGACCTAGCTGGCCATGCACAGGTCACCACCATCCCCCAGGACCTCCTGACCCAGTGCCCCTGCCCTGTCCCAGGTGGAGATGTTTGGGGTGACAGCCCCTGGGCTGGAGCAGAGCTCGCAGCTGCTGGATGAGTTCCTGTCCCTGCAGGTGGAGATCTTGACTGAGCTGGGCTTGCACTTCCGGTGCGGAGCTGGGTGGGGTTGGTGGGGTTGAAGAAGGGAGTGGGGTGACTGGGCTGTCCTGCCACCTGCCTCCTTTTCCCTGGGTGAGGCCTCTGGACGGTATAGTCTCTGTCTGCATTATCTTGCTATGTAGAAGTATGAAAAGCATGCACAGTAAAGCTATTCCGTGACCCCTCTGGGGCAGTTCCTCATCCCTGGAGTGAGGTCCAAGAGACCTCATTGCCCTCCAAGGTGAAGCAGGATGTGAAAGGGAGGCACCAGATACACAAAGCCCATTCATCCTTTAGGACACACAGCTTTCCAGAGGGCTGAAGAAGGCCACCTCTTCCCCAGGTGACTCATTGCAAAAAAATCAAAAAACAACAACAACAACAAAAAAAACAGAATATACAACCAGGTGGGGCATCGCATGCCTGTAATCTCAGCACTTAAGAGGCTGTGGCAGGATTTCCATGAGTTCAAGACCAACCTGAACTATAGAGTGTGGTCCTGTCTCAAAATAACTAAGTCAATAAAACTGAAAAGGCGCATATTTACAATCTTAGCACTAGGGAGTCTGAGGCAGGAGGATTGCTGTGAGTTTGAGGCCAGCCTGGACTACGAGACCCTATTTCAAAGGAAACAGAAAAGTGCCTGCTGTGCAAACAGAGAACCTCAGTTCTGATCTCCAGCACCCACATAACCTCTGTGGTGAAGGTGCACATCTGTGACGCCAGTGCTGGAGAGTCAGAGACAAGTGGATCCCTAGGGCTCTCTGTCCACCCTCTCTAGCGCCGTCAGTGAGCACACACAAACACAGGGCCTAGAGGTGCACACCTACAATCCCAGCGCTTGTGATCGGGACCCCGTTCAAGGCCATTCTCAGCTATATAGTGAATTCTAGGCCAGCCTGGGCTACATGAGACCCTACCTCAAAAAGCCATACAAAAAGAAAAAGGCAGTTAGAACTCCCAAACTGGAGATGCTGTTCTAGACCAGAAGAGTGGTTGGGTGAGTAGCCCATAGGCTGCTGCATGGCTGTCCTTCCTTCCCACCCTCTGCCTTCTGTCTCCTCTGGGTACCACCTCCCCAGCACCGGGTTCTCCTCATCCTCTGTGTCTTCTTACCCCCTTCTTTCCCTCCTTTTTGTCGTCCTCCATGTCCTCCTCCTCTTCCACTGACCATCCTTCACCCTTGCCCAATGACTTTTACCCTGTTTTCGACCTTGGCCTCAGGGTGCTGGACATGCCCACCCAGGAACTGGGCCTTCCTGCCTATCGCAAGTTCGACATTGAGGCCTGGATGCCTGGCCGAGGCCGATACGGAGAGGTGAGAGCCCTGGCCTAGTGGGGACGTGCGGTAAGACGCTGGAGGATGGGCCTGTCCCCAAGACAGCCGCTCAATCATCCCTGCTCCAGGTCACCAGCGCCTCCAACTGCACAGACTTCCAGAGCCGCCGTCTGTTCATCATGTTTGAGACGGAGACTGGGGAGCTGCAGTTTGCACATACGGTGAGGCCCACACTGCATCTCCACCTTCCCATCCTCTGCAGCACCTCACCCCCATCCCAGGGCCAGGACGGGGTCAGAGCCTGGCCCTGAGCACACCCTTCTCCCAGGTGAATGCCACGGCTTGTGCTGTTCCCCGAGTCCTCATTGCCCTCCTGGAGAGCAATCAGCAAAAGGTGAGAGGTCCCCAAGCCTGGAATCTCAGGTTCAAGGCCTGTCTGGGGATCTTTACTATCTCAGTTTAAAAGTAAAACAGGGCTAAGGGCATGGTTTAATAGTAGAGCCCCTGCCTAGAATCCCCCAGTGAGGGGCTGGGGGTGTGACTCAGTGGTAGAGCCCCTGCCTAGAATCCCCTGGTGAGGGGCTGGGGGTGTGGCTCAGTGGTTAAGAGTTGCCTGTCATGGGACAGATCCTGGGTTCAGCTGGCAGTACTAAATGGATGGGAGTGGTGAGAATTTGAGACTCCCCCAGCAACTGAGGGAGAGTTGGAGGAAGGCTAGCATCCTCATAACTGCTCTGTCCCCAGGATGGTTCTGTTCTCGTGCCCGCTGTCCTCCAGCCCTACCTAGGCACTGACCGGATCACAGCCCCTACCCATGCGCCTCTCCAGTACATCGGCCCCAACCAGCCCCAGAAGCCCAGGCTCCCTGGCCGGCCTGCTGCCAGATGACAACTGTCTGCTCTAGAGATTGGCACTCTGGAGACCCCAGACACGTAGAACCTTTACCCTGGAGCCAGCCCTCCAGTCTTTGTACTTGTCACCTCCCCCCGAACTCCTGGTCTGCCACTCTTCCTTCCCTGCCACTGAATTATTGGCAGTGGCCCCTACTGTCACTGGGCTGTCAGCCAGAGGCATGTCTCAGCCTGTGATAAGAAGAAGGCTAGCTGGAGAGAGCTGGAGGACACCATCCCGTCTTCCTCCTTCCCGGAGCCTTGGTACTGAGCAGAAGACCCACAATAAACGGTCCCAAGAGCAGAGTCTTCTGGATCTGTGAGCGAGAGAGGTGACTGCTCCCATGCTGGGTGGCCTGGGGATCCCCAGGGTGACTGAAAGGATGCCAAGGCCTCTCTTCCTCTGGGACAAGAAGGCCATCATTCTCTGATGACTCCCTCAGACTGAGCCAGCTTTGTCCTTCTCCTTTGGCCGATGGTCCCCAACTCCTGTGTTGTCCAGAGTGCCACACTCATGGAAGCTGATCCCCAGAATCCTTTGTGCTCACCTCACCCTTCACAGGCACTCCAAGCCCTTTGCCGACATTAGCTCTCTGCTCCCCCACCCCACCCCCACCCCCGGTGGATTTTGCTCAGCACCTTGAGTGGCTCCACCCTTCGGGCTATCCTCGGTGTTTTCCCACCTTCGGTGGGTTAGCAAACCTGCGGTTTTACCTTCGGAATGTTCCAGGGTCTGCCAGTTGCCCGCTCCTTCCTCCTTCCTCAGCCCTATTCTTCAACTGACCACTTTGGTCTCCCACCTGGATAGTCACAAAAGACTCCTTGTCTCTGCCCCCTGGGAGCATCTGAGTTGGGGTGTGGCCCTCCCCGCCCAGGGTCCTCCTGTGGCTCTATCAGTGTAAAGGACAAGGGTGCCATGACTTTCTCCTCTGTCGGATTCACTGCCGTCATTCACTCTTCTGCATAACATTATCTGCAAATGTTGGCTGTCCAGCTTCTCAAGTGTGAGTTCCAGCAGGGCTGGACATTGGCCAGTTGATTCACTGCTGTAGATCCAGCTCTGTGGAGAAGAGTTGGCATACAGTAAGTGCCCAGTGAAAGTTACTGGGGGAATCTGGTGTGGCTCAGTTGGTAGAGTGCTTGCCTAGCATGCACAAATCCCTGGGTTCAATTCCCTAGCATAGAATTAATTGGCCATTTTAGTATGTGTCTATAATCCCAGCACAGGAACAGAGGCAAATCTGGTGTACATAAATTGAAGCCAGCCTGGAATATATCAGGTCCTATCTCGAAATATGAATTCCTGGAGTCTGGTGTGCTGACATGCATCTGTGGTCCCAGCATGGGGAAGCTGAGGCAGGAAGATCCAGAATTAAAGGCTTGCAGGTGTGTTAGTGCACGCCTTTAATGTCCGCACCTGGGAGGCAGAGAGAGGTAGCTCTGTCTGAATTTGAGGCTAGCCTTGTCTACATAGCAAGTTCCAGGCCAGCCACAGTTACACAGTGAGGCCCTGTGTTAAAATGAGGAGCTGAGCCGGGCAGTGGAGGCACCCGCCTTTAACCCCAGCACTCACGAGGCAGAGGCAGGCAGATCTCTGTGAGTTCGAGGCCAGCCTGGTCTACAAAGTGAGTTCCAGGACAGCCAGGGCTACACAGAGAGACCCTGTCTCGAAAAACAAACAAAAACCTGAAGAGATGGCTCCGCCGTTAAGAGCGCTCACTGGCTGCTCTTTCAAAGGACTCCCTGGCCACAGGCACTCAAGTGTGTACTTACCCACTGCCACGCACGTAACGGCAATTTCAAATAAAGGATTTCACGGCTAGTGCAGGCTGTCTCTAGCAAGACCCGGTCTCAAAGAAACAAAAATAGATTACTGGACATTATCTGTGGTGGTTCACACTTGTAAGCCCTGCATTTTAGAGGCGAAGACAGGAGGATTGCCACAAATTTGAGGCCAGCCTGAGCTACATAGCAAGACCCTGTCTTCCCAAAAAGAAAAAAGAAAGAAAAGCAAGGGAAAATGTTACCTGGTGGTTGGTTAGGGCTTCATGTGAAAAGTGCTACGCTATCGTGACAACCTGAGTTCGGATCCTTGGAAGCCACAGAAGCCATGTGCTCTTGTAACCCAAGCACTAAGTGGACAGACAGTTGGATCTCAGGAGCTTGCTGGCCAACTGGCCTATCCTAGCTCCAGGTTCAGTAAGAGACCATCTCAGAAAATAAAGTGGGGAGCAGCAGGAAGACACCAGCCTCCACAAGTGTGTACGTCACACGCACGGTACGGGGTGCCGTGTAGCCCCGTGAAGTTCCCAGTGCAGGGCACTGCCCAAGCACCCTCACATTTCATTCTCACCCAAGAGCTCTGGAGTAGGCTGTCACCGAAACTTTCCTAAATATAACAAAGCTTAAGCAATTGTCCCAGCACTGCACAGCTGGTGGATGGTGGAGCGGGGACTTGGCCAGAAGGAGCTCGCACCTCCGAGGAAATAGATTCAGGAGGATCCACTTTCCAGATGAGGAAAGCTGAGAAAAGGAGAGTTGCCCAGTTCCCATGTGAGTCTGGGGAGAGCCTTCCCCCACACCCCACCCCGTGCTCCTGGGCCAGAAGCCCGGAGGGGAGCATGCTTGAGTGTGGGTTCCCATGAATAATTGAGGGTCCTGGAGCGCCCCACAGCTGTCCTCTCTCCTAAGCTGGGGAGGGGTTGGTGCTGATGTCATTTCCTCCCCCTGCTGGGGCCACTGCACCTGGGTTATAAGGCTCTGGCACTGGCTGTCCACTCAGCGGAGAGGTCCCAGGTCCCGACTTCCCACCATGCTGCGCCGGGTACCCACCTCCACAGTGCTGCTCCCGCTGTTGGCCCTGCTGCTGGGGGCTGGTGAGTCCAGAGTCCACAGGGGGATTCGGTGGCATGGCAGTTCACCTGGGGTCGGGCTATAGATGGGCAGCGGAGCTTACACATAGGGACAGCACACGTGGCCAGTGTGGCTGGTGGACTGAGGTTCTGGGAAGTTGGGATCAGTACTACGGACAGTGGCTGTTTCCTCCTTCCACAGCCTCCTCGGCTCCCCTGGCGCCCAGACCCTCCAAGGAGGAGGTGAGAGAGGAAACCTCCTTTGCCCTCCCCATCCCGTTGGGTCCCCTCTGCCCAACTTCTCCAGGATCCCTACCTCTTTCTTTTGATCGATAGCCACTCTGTTTTCCCAACTCCCTTGCCCTTGGCCTCCCTCTGACCTTTCTTCCTTGCCCCCAGCTAACCCGCTGTCTAGCAGAGGTGGTCATGGAGGTGCTGACACTGGGCCAGGCCCAGAGAGGCCCCTGCACAGCTCTGCTCCACAAAGGTAGGAGGCCTTAGTTCCCCTCAGACTCCCGACATCCTTCCCTACTCTCCTACTGGCCCCAGTGCATGGTGGAAGAATTCCCAGGTCTGGGATAGTGTGGTACTACTTACCCCTCCCCCACACACATGAAAAGCCTTGCTCCCTTGAAGCTCCCTGCAGTGTAGGGACTGGAGCAGTGAACATCTGCAGCCAGTGATGCCCCCTCCCAGTGCCAAGCAGTTACCTTCATGATGGCGGGGAGGACCCGGAACTCTTCAGGGCCTCCATTTCTCAGTTGGATGCACAAAGAGCACCCTGTCTTTTCCTGCCAGAGATATTCGAGACAGAGCCCCGTGGCTGTGTGTCCCTTGAGAAGAGGTTGCTGGGTGGGCAGTTCAACAAGCAGGAGGCTGGAGAGATGAGGTCCAGCCAGGAGATAAGGGACAAGGAAGAGGAGGAAGCAGAGAGGACCCACGAGTCTGAGGTGCGGGAACAGGCCATCCACACACAGCTCCACAGCCGCCTCCGTCAGGAGGAGGAGAAGGAGGAGGAAGAGAAGAGCCAGCCAGGGAAGGCCTTGGAGCGTATGTGGGAGCAGCAATTACAGAGTGCCAGGGGCCCCCAGAAGCGGGTGGCTGAGAAGGCCAGCGATGAGGAGACGGCCCAGTTTCAGGCAGAGGAGAAGGGCATGCAGCTGCTGGGCGGAGGCCGCCACCTGTGGCAGGGGGCTGAGATGGCCGGGGCAGAAAGGCGTGAAGGGTCCTCAAGCCATCATGGCCACCCGGAGCAGCCAGACACCAAGGCCAAACAGGAGGAAGAGGCAGAGGAGGAAGAGGCGTCAGAGCAGGAGGTGAGTGGAGGGGGCACTCCAAGGCCACCCAAGGGGTCTCTTCCAACACCTCCCAGTGCTGGGCCACAATGAAATCCACCGTGAGATGGGTCAGAGTGACCAAGTATGCACCAGGACTAGGTAGCATCGCCCAAGCAAGGACAGTGACCAGGAAGACACCACTAATTACCCAGAGCATCAGGTAAGCCACCGTTGCCGGTGTGCACCAGTAAGTTGGCTCCCACGGAAGCTAGCAGCTACTCTCCTGGTTCAGTAGGCTAGTGACAGACTGTTGGCTAAGTCATGCAAAGTTGAATAGGTCCCACAGGCCAGCAAGATGGCTCAGGGGGTAAAGGCACTTGCTGCCAAGCCTGGGGACCTGAGTTCAATCCCTAGATCCCCCATGGAAGATGGAGAGGACTGACTCCCACAGGCTGTCCTCTGACTCTCCACACACGCTGTGGTACACATGTGCACATTCACATCCACAACAAATAAAGGTATAAACTTGTTTTTTTTTTTTTTTCTTTTTCAATTATGGGCTGGAGAGATGGTTTAACAGTTCAAAAAAGTTTTCTTTTAAATGAATTAAATATAACCTTAATTGGGAGCAGCAATCAAAATGGCCATCACCTCAGATGGGTCACCCAGGGCCAGATATAGGTCCATGGTAGAATGTATACCTAGCATGCACAGGCCCTGGGTTCAATTCCAAGCACTACATAAACCAGCTGTGATGACACACATCTGTAATCCCAGCACTCAGAAAGTGGAAGCAGAAGGATCAAGAGATCAATGTGGCAGGAAATGTGGCCCTCCATGCTGGTCAGCGGGAACAAAGATGGTAGCCATCACTGACCATGACAGACAGCTAGGAAGGGACTTAGTGTATGAAGTGGCAGGTCTGAATCACAGTGGTCACAGAGGTGGTAACTGGATTTCTGATCTCCCCCAGGAAGATGATGTGGAACGGCTAGAGCGCATGAAGGAGCAGCTAAAGAAGGCCACCGCCATGCTGGGAGAGGCACTTGGGAGGGAAGGCTGACCCCCCGCCACTCTCCTCCTTTCCCATACTCCCTAAGGCTCAGACAGTTGCCCTCAGAGCCCCCAATCCACCTGGCATCCTGCTCCACTTCCAGCTGGCAGGGACTGGTGTGCAAGGGTGTGCCTGAGAACCGAGCCTGAGAAAAGTCTGAGGGGGGCAGGGGCTGGGTTCAGACTGACTCAGGCCCCCACCCCCACGCTCCCATCCCTCTGAGTGAATAAAGCACAAAGCAAGCCCCTGGTTCACTCTTGGCTTTGGAGGGATGGGCCTGAAATAAGCAGGGAAGCACTATCAATCTGGGCTCTGGCTGTCAGGTCAGAAGTTTTATTAAATTGGAAATTATATTAATATTAGAACTTAAGTCAGGCGGGGTTGGGGTCATCAGGAAGAGGTTTGGATGCCGGGGAGGGAGGTAGCCGGTTTTGGCTCCTGCCACTGTGGACCACGATGTCATCATATTCATCCTGGGGACAGAGAGGGATAGCACAGGGGTCAGGTAGCTGCCACACTGCCCACTGCCCAGGTCACAGCACCTAATGGGGTCTCACTGTGACACCTGTGTCCCCTTTACCCCTTCTTTAATATCCTCACTCTCAATGTGCCATGCTGGAGGCCATGGCTCAGCACCCCCTCCCCCACCGCTACCCTGTGGTCCCAGCCCCCCAGTGGCTCGGGTATCACAGCCACCTGACTTGGCTCTCTCCCCTCTGCCTTCACCCACCTCCGGCCCTCTTCCTGCTCTACCAGCCCCTCCCCAGGGGTATGCTGTTGTCAGGGTTCTTCACTAGTGCTCCCCCCCCAAGGCTGAGGTCTTTCCCTACCATCAGTGTTCCGGCCACTCTGACCAAGGTCACCTACCTACAGCCCAAGTGCTGCATCTCCTGCTGTCAGAGTTGCCTCCCGTGTTCAGACCCTCGCTGCCTGTGTTCATGCCCTCCTCTGGAGGACGTCTAACTTAGCTCGTCTTTGCTGGTGTTTTTCTTTTTGACAGTCTCACTGTGCAGCCCTTGCTGGCCTCAAACCCACAGACATCCACTGCCTCTGCCTCCTGAATCCCGGGATTCCAGGCTAATGTGTGCCACCATGACAGATTGCCTTAGCTGTTCAGCCACCACTGCCACGACTGCCCAAGTCTACGGCAGTTCCCCCCATCTCCTGTGTCCCCTGTCTGAGTTCCCTGACAGCATCCGCCCAGCTTTCTCGTTGCTGGTTGACCCTGACCCTCCAGCTGGGGTGCCCGCGCCCGACTCACGCCCTCATCTCTTGTTCCTGGTTGACCCTGACCCTCCAGCTGGGGTACCCGCGCCCGACTCACGCCCTCATCTCTGCTGTCGCTGTCACTGTCGCTGCTGCTGCTGCTGCAAGGGCCGAGCTTATCATCCTCATCCTCGGGTTCAGGGGCTCCATGTGCACGGAGGAGGCGGGCAAGGATGGGGTTGGGCCGCAGCAGGGCACTGCCAAGTGGCGTGCGGCCCCCATACATGCGGGCGGTGGGGTCAGCCCCGGCCTTCAGGAGAAGCTCCAGCACGTTGGCTGCCTGGGCCTCTACTGCCAGGTGCAGAGGGGTCCGGCCACACGTGGGCTCCTGTGGGTGTGCCAGAGCAGTCAGTGAGACCGAAGAGGGGACTGTGCCTTCCCCCACACGGGCCCACCACCGTGGCTCACCGGTTTATTGAGGTCAGCTCCAGCATTCCTGAGCAGCCGGACCATCTCCACATCTTTGTGGATGACAGCTACATGGAGTGGGGTGTGGCCTGGGGATAGAGCAATTGGTGTCAGATGAGAGGCTAAGGGGCCTCAGCTTGGTCACGACCCTAAGAAGAGCTATGTGAGCTAAGGATACCAGGTTTGGAGGCTGGCTGCTGAATTCCAGATGCCTACGTGTCAGCATGCTGGTGGGTGTAAGCCTGAGTGGTGCAGGGTCTGGGATCTACAAGCCTGGGGACTCTGAATGAGAGCACTTAATCTGTGGACCAACAGAACCAAGTCTTTGGTCTGCCTTCACAAAGAACAGAGGCTGGACTAGGATGGACAGCTCTTGAGTTCCATCCCCAGCATCATAAAGAAAACCAACAAGGATAATAACAATAGAAGTCCCACAAAGGACCTGGGACACTGGCTACCAGGTGACCTCAGCCCATTTATGGAGAAGCCAGGTTCTTTTCCCACGAGGCCTGACTGAGGAGGGTAACCTCCGCACCCTCTGCTCATGGCTGGGAGCGTGGGATGGATCCTCTCATCCTGGGCAGGCTGGGCTAGTGACATACTTGGGAACAGTTCTGGAGGGAAGGCACTTTGCAGATGGGTAGTCCAGGCTCAACCACTGTATCCTGCCATTTCAGGATCTGTGGGGGGCAGGTCTGGGCCTCAAGTGGTTTGATGACCAGGGGAAGAGGAGCCCTGTATGTCTAATTCTTAATACCCCTGAGGCGGAGTGAAGGTCCTTGGACCCAATGCTGGGATTTCTGGAGTCTGGGGATGATCTTGCTTTTAGGAGCTGGTTTTGCTTTGGGTTCCCTCCCACCCCCCCCACCCTTGGTCCTGGCTTTTTATTTGGTATCATTAAGCACATGTACCTCTCCTCTCCTCAACCCCTTCCCCCCACCCCCCACCTGCTCTCCATAAGGCGTTCCCACATAGTCTACCTTTTTTTTTTTTTTATACTGAGCATGGTGATGCTCACCTTTTTTTGTTTGTTTATTTGTTTGTTTTTGAAACAGAGGCTCACTATGTAGCACAGGCTGAACCTGACCGCATGATGTTTCTGCTTCTGGCTTCTACCACCCAAGGGCTGGAATTATAGGCACACATAGCCATGCCCTGAGGTGGGTGTTTGTTTGAGACAGGGTCCCCTGAACCTAGCCTGGCCTCAAACTAGCTAGATAGCACCAAAGGTGACCCTGAACATGCCTAGTTTGTGCCGGGGATCAAACCCAGGGCTCCGTGTATGCCAGATAAGCACTCCATCGATTTAGTTATATCCGCAGCCAGCGGCTAGGTTTCAAGTTGGGTAAGAGCCAGTAGCTTGGTTCCCTGGCTCTGGCCAGGAGCTCGCGTCCTTCCCTCACCCTCATAGTTTTCAGCTTCTAGCTGCAGCTTCCAGTCTTCATCACTCGGCTCCTCTTCGTTCTCTGGGTTGGGTTGAGGGTTCACAGCAACAGGGGTGTGGCTGGTGTCTGGGGTTCGGTCCTGGCTCTGAGTGAGGTAGATATCTGAGGCATCCCTTGGGCATCTGGGGCGGGGCTGGAGCAGCACACATGCACACGTATGGGCCCTCACCCGGCAGGCCAAGTGCAGCGCGGTGTGGCCCCCTCTCTCAGCCACCAACACTCCTGCGCCAGCTGCATACAACTTCTCTACCGTGGATGCCTCCCCCAGGATGGCTGCTAGGTGCAGGGCTGTCTACAGGAATAGAGGGCAGGGGTTAGGGCCATACTGACAGTCCCGGACCCAGCTCCCTAGAGCGACCATCCCCAGTGGTTTA